ACTTCTAACCCCAATTAGGGTACTTATAACCCTACTTACTAAGTCCCACTGTAGCACCTGCGAAAGTGTATCCTACTTATCCTTCCACTTGTCACCTAAATCAAGCGCCCCACACATCCCCACGTCCTGAATCCTACACCTCAGGGACTACCCTGTTTGTACCTACCTAACTACTCAGACCCCGATGACCAAGTGCAGAGTCTGGGGTTTAGGGTTAGGGTTCTGCCGGGAAGGGCTTTATGAAACCTAAACCCTTAAACCCTGATTCCCCAAGCTTTGTGGGGTCATGCAGATCGATTGGGTTCCTTATTGGGGCTCTTACAAATGTATATGTATGTATATACATATATGATATACCATAGATGTAGATGCATATCTTCTTTAAATGAAAAAATCCTGAGGAGTTTGAGGTCTGGACTCGGCTCATGTAACAAGGGCGAGCCCAAATTACGCTTCGACCCCTTCGTGACTACCGGCGAAGAAAGCCAAAACCCTCCCAAACCCCCTGTTTCGTAAGGAGGCGTATTTATTTTGGGATTTTTTTTTTTTGTTGGGCATTTTTTTTTATTGGCTTGTGTGCGCGCTTGGCTTGGCTTCTCGGCTTCCCTGGCTTCTTGGCTTCTGGCTTCTTGGCTTTTCGGCTTCTTGGCTTTTTTCTTCGGCATAGAGAGCCTCATAAATCAGTCCTTAAGTCACGCCCTCAACCCTAAGCCGAGCCGAGGCGAATTTAGGTCAGTAAAGCGGGATAGGGGCCATGGTTTTTTTTTTCCAAGGTGCGGCCAACCCTTGTTTGCGAGGTGCGGCCAAGGGTCCCTGGTGCATGCGGTCACCTAGTCCTCTGGTCCTTGGTCTTGTGGTCCCCTGGTCCTCTGCTCGCGGTCCCCTAGTCCTCTGGTCCTTGGTCCTGTGGTCCCCTGGTCCTCTGGTCTGCTGGTCCTCTGGTCCCGTGGTCTCCTGGTCCCCTGGTGCATGCGGTCCCCTAGTCCTCTGCCACAGCCACAACCACAACCACGGGATAGGGGTTAAAAACAAATTAAATAAGGATCAAAAAAATAAAATAAGGATCAAAAAGAAATTAAATAAGGATCACAAAAAAATTAAACAGGTATCCACGAAAGGAGGGGGGGGGGGTAACGGAGGAAAGAAGACACAGAAAGAGAGAGAGAGAGAGAGAGAGAAAAAAAAAGAAAGAAATAACGAAAGAAGGAAAGAAAGAAAGACAGAGAGAGAGAGAGAGAGAAAGAAACATAAAGAAAGAAAGAACGAAACAAAGAAAGAGCGGAAGAAAGCAAGAAAGCAAAAAAGAACGAAATACATAAAGCATAGTTATAAGGAAAGAAAGAAATCAAAAATACACAAATAGATAAATAAAGAAAGCTATAAGGAAAGAAAAAAGAAAACACAAGGAAAGGACGAACGAGAGTTAGAAACAAAGAAAAGCAAATAATACAGACATAACGAATGAACAAAAATGGAGAAATAAAGAAAGACGAAATGACATAAATTAACTAAGATGTTGTTTTGTTTTATGTTATCTTCTGTTATGTTGTATCGTCGTCTTTTATTATGTTATTATATGCTATAGGAAGCAAGGTTCTGTTATGTCAGAAAATGTCACACTATTTTTGTGATGTCGAACCATCTTATGTCGTTCTTATGGTTTACTATGTTATATTATGTTATAGAGTGCTAACGGAAGACGAGACACGAACAGGCACGGAAGAACGAAAGACCCACCGCCGCGCTTTTCGAGCCGTGCAAGCTTGATTCAAACAGTGTTTTCGAAACCCATCATGTGAGCGTTGTGTCTGCAAATGGGGGGGGCTGCGCCCCCCCCAACCCCCCCGCTAACCAGAATCGCCAAATGAGGGGGTGTGTTTAAGATAGGTGATGAAGCGGAATACCAGGAACAGCTACAACACGAATTCCGTCCTAAATGCGAAATTGTAACGAAAATTTGATGTTCCCGAGGAACAACCAAAGATAACGTATGTTTTCCTTCTGAAAACCTGAAGAAATGACACGAATGCCATAAGTAATAGAAAAATGGTGTTTTTCCTAGGAAAAACTAGAAAACTTGGAAAACACAACGGAATCCGTAGGAAAATCATGTCTTCCAGAGGAAAAACCAAGCAAATCCTTAGGAAATGAAAGAGAATCCATAGGAAAACAGTGGTCTCCCTTGGAAATTCAAGAATTGCTGTATCTGAAAAGAAAGAAAGAAACGAAGACAGGACGAAAGAAAGAAAGGACGAGAAAAAGAACGAAATAAATGAAAAAGAAAGCAAGAAAGAAAGGAAGGAAGGGAGTATGAAATGAATAAAGAAAGAACACCAGAAAGAAATAAAAGAAATGAACGAGCGAAAGAAAGAAATAAATCCAGAATAAACAGGCAAAGTTGGAAAATACGAAAGAGAAAGAACATGAAAGAATCACAGAAACAAAGATACAAACAATAGGATACTACATAGTCCAATCGAATATGCAATAATATCGTAATGGACCCTAAAATATTTAGCATAATGTAACCTGATGTTATATAATATACCAAATATTATGTTCTATATATACAAACTATATTGTACTATGTTACAATGTACTACACTATAAACTAAGATGTTGTTTTGTTCTATGTTATCTTCTGTTATATTGTATTGTCGTCTTTTGTTATGTTTATTAGATGCTATAAGAAGCAAGGTTCTGTTATGTCAGAAAATGTCACACGGTTTTTGTGATGTCGAACCATCTTATGTCGTTCTTATGGTTTACTATGTTATATTATGTTATAGAATGCTGACGGAAGAAGAGACACGAACAGGCACGGAAGAACGAAAGACCCACCGCCGCGCTTTTCGAGCCGTGCAAGCTTGATTCAAACAGTGTTTTCGAAACCCATCATGTGAGCGTTGTGTCTGCAAATGGGGGGGGGCTGCGCCCCCCCCAACCCCCCCGCTAACCAGAATCGCCAAATGAGGGGGTGTGTTTAAGATAGGTGATGAAGCGGAATACCAGCAACAGCTACAACACGAATTCCGTCCTAAATGCGAAATTGCAACGAAAATTTGATTTTCCCGAGGAACAACCAAAGATAACGTATGTTTTCCTTCTGAAAACCTGAAGAAATGACACGAATGCCATAAGTAATAGAAAAATGGTGTTTGTCCTAGGAAAAACCAGGGAAAATTTCAGGAAATACAACGGAATCCGTAGGAAAATCGTGTTTCCCCGAGGAAAAACCAATCAGATCCTAAGGAAATGAAAGAAAATCCATAGGAAAATAATGTTTTCCCTTGGGAAATTCAGGAATTGCTGTATTTTGAGTGATTCAATTTTTTGATCCTTATTTTGTTTTTTTTTTATGCCTCTGCCCCAGGAATTGCTGTATTTTACGTGACTTAATTTTTTCATCATTGTTTTAGTTTTTTGACCCTGGCGCTTTAATCTTTTGATCCTTATTTAATTTTTTTTTGATCCCTCACCCTGTCCCCCCGCTGTTTTAAGCCGTGCAGGGTTGCTTTGATTCATATGCCTTTTTTTGAAACCCAGCAAATGAGGGCATTAGGGGTACCTTATTTTGGGCGCCTCGCAATAAGGATCCTACTATTTTATGGGTACTATGAGGGTTCCCTATTTTCGACAACTATTACTATTACTTTTACTCTTCCTATTGCGATTGCTATTGCTATATTACTATTGCTATCGCTTTTGCTACTGCTATTGCTATTACTATTACTCTTGCTCTTGCTGTTGCTATTGCTGTTGCTGTTGTTATTGCTGATTGCTACTACTTTTACTCTCACTGCTACTATTACTCTTACTCTTACTCTTACTATTGCTGTTGCTGTTGCTATTGCCATTACTACGACTACTACTATTACTACTACTACTACTACTACTACTACTACTACTACTACTACTACTAGTGCTACTACTACTACTACTACTGCTACTACTAGTACTACCACTACCACTACCACTACTACTACTACTACTACTACTACTGCTACTGCTACTGCGACTGCTACTGCGACTGGTGCTACAACTACAACTACTACTACTACTACTACTACTACTACTACTAGGGGTCTTGTTGGGTTTAGAGCTAGGCGGCATTTGAGGTTTTCGGATGTAGGACTTGTTCTGTGGGCCTAGAGTGGGCGCGGAAAATGTTTGGGTTTGGGGTTCAGGGTTTAGGGTATGGGGTGTAGGGTTTAGTGCAAAGAGTTTAGGGTTTAAATTTAGGGTTTCGGCTTAGGGTGCTGACACGGGCCACAAGACTTAACACGACAGGGGCAGCAATAGCAACATGAGAAGCAAACGTAGGAGCAATCCATGGTATCAGAACTGAGCACGCAGCACCATACACAGGTTCGATTTCAAAGCCCTGAGTTTAAAACCCAATCCCAACGCCCCAAACCCTCAGCTGTAAATCTGCAGGCTCAGAAAGGAACCCCCACGATCTTCGGTGCCTGCAAGGCAATGCAACACGGCCAAGCAAACCACAAAAAAAAAAAAATGCCAAAAAAAAAAAAAGAATTACCAAACTAATTCCAGACCCGTTTCGTAAGCCCTTGCTGAAAAGGGGGCAGGTTTCGGACCCCAAAGCCCTAAGCCCTCGACCTTAACCCTGAATACTCAACCATAAAATCTTGCTACGCCTGCCTCGTTACATTGCGTTCTTGTTCAGGAACAAAGTCTAAGTAGTTTGCAATAGGTACATCCTGTGCATAAAAGGCCTTCTCCGGTGTGGCAAGCTAAAGATATTAAAAACTCCAAGCAGCCCAGCAGGAACCCTAGGCCCCAAACCCCAAACTCTAATCCCTAAGCCCCAACCCCCAAGGCCTAAAGCCTAAACCTTGGACCCTAAACTCTAAACCTCAAACCCCCAAGGCCTAAACCCTAAACCCTGGACCCTAAACTCTAGACCCCAAACCCCAAACCCTTTATCAATTCCGTTTTTCAAAGAGCCCTTTGAAGACATCACCCCCTCGTCTCAGGTGATGTTCATCGACCTGCTCCTTGGTTTCATCTTTGGGTTATCAAAGCTTCGAGCATTAAGGAACCCTGCACCTCAGAGGGTTTAGGGTTTAGGGATCCATAAGGTATTGGGTTTTGGGGTTAGGGTTTAGGGGTTTAGGGTGTAAGGGTTTAGGGTTTAGGGATCAATTACGAGCCCCAAACCCCAGAACCTAAAATCAGAATGCCTGATGCCGTTTAGACGCAAAGGCCGCGAAGCCTCCCAGCCTCAAGCACTGAACTCGCACCACCTAAAGCCCCAAAGCCATAAACTCCCAAATCCTCTGGAGCCCGAATACCCCAAAGCCCGAAACCCCAAACCCCCTCCGAGTGCGTGGCTTTTGGGTTTCATGGTTCGGGGCTCTGTGTCTTGCAGAGGTGCAAATTGCAGCGCAGGCTTTGTCTGACGGTTTAGGGTTTAGGGTTTAGGGTTTTCTGAATATTTGAGGATTAGGGTTTCAGGGTTTAGGGTTTAAGGTTTAGGGTTTAGGGTTTTTGGGGTTTAGGGATAGGGTTTAGGGTAGCAAAAAAAGGGTTTCAGGGTTTGGATGTTCAGGCTTGGGGGCGCTAGCACCTCCTTGGCATCCGAGCTAAGGGCAAAGCTTGCGCATGCCGGGCGCGCCACGTTTAATATCGGGGTGTAAATAATTGCCTATACTATTGTGGGGGTTCCTTGTGTATAGTATAATGGGCCCCAAAACCCTATTCTAATTCTTAAGGTCCATATATTACACACAGGTTGTGTACATGGCTTTGGTAAAGGTGTAAATTCAATCCAGCTGCCCCTATATACCTTAAAGCAAAGGGGGATGCATATTATGATTTAAGTCACATTCCTTAGTCAAGGGGTATTGGGCTCTCTGGGTACCTTGCTTTTGAGCAAGTCCTTATTGAAGTACTCATCCCAAATCACAAACCCAGCTTAGAGGATCAGGGGACTTAGTAAGTAGGGTTATAAATACGGTAACTATAGTTATAACCCCAATAAAAGGTACTTATAGCCCTACTGGCTAAGTCCCATGATGCCCCAACCCAGGTGCTATTCGAGGACTCAGCTGATCTACGATCCGGCCTACTTCGGCCAGTACGCCGACCCTCGTGCCGGGCTCTTAGCCCAGGTTTAGGGTTGAGGGTTTAGGGTTTAGGACAAGCGGATCAGATTTTTTGGGTTAATCCTAGCCTAAACCCCTCTTAAACTGCCCTAAACCCCTGCCTTTAAACCCCTAAGCCACTAAACCCCAGATCTCCAACCCTTCAAACCCTAAACCCTAAAGCCAGAACTTCACAGGACCCTAAACCCCAAACCCCTCAACCCCGACTAAACGGCCCTAAACCTTAAACCCTAAACCCCCGAACTCCTAAACCCCTAAACCCCTTCACCCCCTAACCCCCTAAACCCCTAAACCCCCGAACCCCTAAACCCCCAAACCCCCAAACCCCGCCTAAACGGCCCAAACCCCCTAAACCCTACACCCTAAACCCTTATAGATCCCTTAAAGGAACCCTTATAGTACCCTTTAAAGGAACCCCCGAAACCCCAGCTTTGCGGAAGAGTTGTGACCCGCGGGGCGCCTTCTAAGGACAACTTTGTCTGGTCCATCACGGACCAGGCGCCGGGTTTGAGGGCTTTTTTGGGGTTTAGGGGTTTGGGGCTTAAGGTTTAGGGTTTAGGGTTTAGGGTCTTAGGTCGTAGGGTTTTGGGCGTTTTTTTTGGATTTAAGGTTTAGGGTCTTGGGGTTGAAGGTTTGAGGGGTTCGGCCTTAGGTCTTAGGGTTTAGGCGGTTTTTGGGATTTAAGGTTTAGGGTTTAGGGTCTTGGGGTTAAGGTTTGGGGGTTTTGGGGTTTAGGGTCAAGGGTCTTAGGATTTAGGGTTTGGGGGTTTAGGGGTTTCGGGCTTAGGGTTCGAGGGTTGGGGTCTTGTCAGGGGCTTCTCTAAATTAGAGTCCTTTTCATGGGCGTTACTAGTGGGACTTAAAAAAGGCACCAATTTAGAGAGGTTTCTTTGAGGGCTTCCAACAGCGTTCGGGTCTTATTTTAGGGGCTAATTATCTATACTATTGTGGGGGTTCCTTATTATAAGTATAGAATGTTTATGGACTTTGTAAATGGTTCTGCATGGATTCTGGAGCTGGGTTTTGACGATTTCAGGGTTTTCAGGCTTTTGTTAGGTTGCAGGGCGGTTCAAGGTTAGGGACCGGACCCTCTATTGTTGCCTGTAGAGGCTTAGAGATCCGGTCTCAGGGTTGTTGGGTTTAGCGGTTTAGGGTCCCAGACCCTAAACCCGAAACCCATCCTCTATCCAAAGCCTTACCTAGACCCCCCAAAGTAGGTAGAATAATGGCCCAAAGCCTATAAAAGGCCATTATTCTACATACTTTTGGGCTCCAGGTAAACCTTAGACCCTGAACCCAAAATTCCTAAAGCTTCTTCGAAGCCTTTTCTTTTCCGGCCGCCCCGCAGGCCACGCTCGGCGCAGCATACGAGAGAGGCTACCTGAAGGCTTGGTGTCTGCGTAGCTCGTCGGATGCTTCTCGTTTCGAAGTCGGGCTTGTGCGTTCAGGCCGAAAGGAGGGTTCAGGGTCTTTTTAGGCTTTGCAGGAGGTTTTGCGGTTCAATTGAAAAAGAGCTTCGTATTCGTGACTATCCCTAAACCCTAAACCCCGTGTATGACGCAGCGTGCTTTATCGTGTCCACAGAGCAAGCTTAGTAGTTTTGTAGTTGATGCTGGGGTATACAGACGGTCTAAACCCTAAGCCGTGTTTTGTTGGTTTGGGGTTTGGGCTCTGCAGTTTGGAGTTTCAGGTGTTTCTTGCGTTTCCATGTCATATCTGGAGGCCCGGAGAGCTCAATACCTTAGAAGCTGGCCCCTACCCTGTAATAGTGATATAATAGGAATATACTAGGGCCCTAATATAATCCTAATATAATCCTTATAGTCACTATTACAGGGTGGGGGCAGCTTCTAATCAATACCCGATACCCCGTCAATTCTAGGCTGGAGCTGACACTGCAAGAGGGGATTCTACCGATGAGGGCTGCTTCTAGGGAGTACCGCCCAAAAGGATTCCTCTACAGTGTCGGGGTGGGGTTTCTAAACTGCAGCCCAAACCCGAAAACCCATATCTATGCCCAGAACGCCCTTGAACCCCAAACGTATCAAGCACCAAAAACCAAAGCCGCAAACCCTAAACTCAAAGCCCCAAAACCCCTTGCAGATGGACACGGGCGCTCAAAAAATACACAAACCCCAAACGCACGAAACACCTAACACACTCTACACCTAAAACCGGTGAAGCCCGAAGCTTAAGCCCATAAGCCCATAGTCAACTCCCCAAGCCACAAACCCACAAACCCTAAACCCCAAAGCCTGAACCCTAAACCCTAAACTCGATGCCCTAAACCCTAAACTCCAAGCCCTAAACCCTGAACTCTAAACTCGAAGCCCTAGACCCTCAACTTTAAACTCTAAGCCCTATACTCCCTAAGCCCATACCTCGGAGTGGGAGCTGGGATCTTCCAGCCTGAAGTCTTGCGACCCAGGGTTGAGGGTTTGGGGTTCAGGATTTGGGGGTTTCCGAAAATTAGGGGTACCTCATTTTGGGGTCCTTATAATAAGGATCCTATTATTTATAGGGACTCTATTAGGGCCCCCTATTTTCGGAAACTCCCATTTGGGGTGTAAGGTTTAGGCCCAAGCCTTTCTGGGCTCTTGTTTCGGAGCTTAACTTTAAGCTTATCACACAGGGGATCTATAGTGAATAATATGGTTAGTGTTAAGGAACTTAGCTTGAGTCTTAAGTTGCCAGGCTCTAGGGTTTAGGGTTCGACCGCCACCAGACCCGGCTAAACGCCTTCATGGACCAATGGTTGCAGTGGGCCGAGAGGAATCCCGCCGCCTTCTACCAGCTCCACAAGCTTGGTGCCGTAAGGCTGACCCCGCCAAGGACAAGTTAGAGGACGCCGGCAACAAGGCCTACCTTCTCTCCATGAGACTGTGTTTTCCCCTGGCAACGGCGAACTCTGGCTTGAGAAATGCAGAGAAGCTGGGGAACGTGATGGAGAGTCTGTTCGGTTACGCGGAAGTCTTTGGGAGGGGCGACCACTTGCTTTTCTGCATGCTCACGGAGTTTAGGGAACTTAGCTTAAGTTACCACAAAGGTGATTTACAGTGAACGATATGGGTTCCTCATCAGGGCAACTTGAACCAAGTTCCTTAACAAGAACCCAGTAGACGCTAACAAGACCCTAGTGCCGAGAGAGGGTTTAGGGTTTAGGGCCAAGAGATCTCCGTGAGGTGTCGGCGCGGGTTTAGGGTTTAGGCCCCATTGTTGCGGACGTATGGCTTCTTCGCGATGTCAGACACGGATGGACCTGCCTCGAAGCTACAGTATGTGTTCCCAGCAAAGTTTACAGACTCAGGTCACGGCACGCTGGTCCAGAGATAGAAAACCCTGCCTCACCACAGTCACAAGTCACAAGTCTTCTGTGGAGAGCAGCGCAAGTGGCTGGCAAGTCAACTGTGGTTCGCAGCATCTGCCCTCATCTGGAGCCAGCCTGTACTAGGAGTAGGAGTCATTTTGGGAAACCCATTACGTTCCACGGATTTCAGGAGCTATGTGGGATTTGCTTCTTGCATGAAGTCGGGCCCCTTTGGCATTTAGTGTTTAAGGTCAAGTCTTTAGGGTTTAGGATTTAGGGCTATGTTCCAGAGTTGTAGGATTTACGGTTTAGGGTGCTGAAGACACGGACCTGCTGTTCTCGCTATGGTTCGGGGTCGACTGTTTGGCATGGGCAGGGGAGCAGGGCGAGGGAGCTGTTGCTGCAGCGCAGGAGAATGGCACCGATCTGATCTCGTTTTCTGCCCGCAGGAGCCTTAGTTGATGCTCGGCTGGGGCCGGCAATTCACGTAGGCAGCGTCTTGCTCTGAATTAGTTGTACACGGGAGAAACCTCAAAACCTGAGCCAAAACTCAACCTTGGTCTAGTTCTTACAGGTGGTGTTGTTCGTGTCCATGTACGACATGACTCTTAACATATTTTGAGCCGTAGATTCCTTCACGTAAATCTAGTGTCCTTGATGTTGATGAAGAACGGTGATAAATGTACTGCTGTCACATTTGGAGACGGGCCACTTAATGTAGGGTCCTCGCAAAACATCATACCCCGTCACATCGTATCAGATCACATTACATCACTGCTTAGGAGTTTAGGAGTTTGGCTTTCTCAAACCCCAAACTTTAACCCCTAAACCCAAAACTGTAAGCCCGGCACCATAAAACACCGCATGTCAATACCTTAAAGGCGAAAGAATAGCACCTAAACCCTAAAACCTAAACCCTAAAACCCTGAAAGCCGCCATGCTGAGCACCCAGGCTGGAACGCAACGACTTTTGAGCCCTTGCTCCCGGCGGCGCTGGACGACGTTCCTGGGCTCAGGTGTTTCATGGTTTTCGTAGTTTCTGCAGGGTCGTCGGAGACGTCTCCAGGCTTATGTGAGGTGGTAGAAGTAGAAGTGGTGGTGGTGGTGGTGGTGGTGGCTGTAGGATGCGGAAGAAGGCCCATTCTTGGCGCTTGCTGGCTTCATACTCTGGCATATCACAAAGCTCAAGATCGCGTTTTCACATTGACGGCATGGACCTGAGAAACTTTCGTTGTCCGGTGCTGAAAAGCTAATGTTATGGGACTGTCGTTGGGCCTTTAGCACTGATGAGGTTCTAACCCCTTAACAGGTCTGCAGCATTCGCAAAGTTTCATGTCGCTCCATACCCTCAAGCCCTGTAAGTCCTGAAAAAGCTTGTGCTTTGCGAGTTTCGGAATATGAACCTTTGCCTCAACTGCCACAATGGGGCAACGTAGCCTAACCTGTAGGACTCTAGGACCGACACTTCCCGGCGTAAAGGGCTCGAACGCTCAAGGGCTGGTAAGTAGGATGTTAGGGGGACCGTTCTGCCAGCCGTGAATCCTCACTGCCCCTAAACTCCTAAACCCTGAACCCTACGCAAACCTTAAATCCTAATTTCCGCTCCCAGTCTCCGCTTTCCACAGCTCGTGGAGCCTTTCGTGCAGTCGCTCAGAGACTCCAAACCCTCTTAAGTAAGGAATCCACCGTAGCTCATGGTAAGGATCCACCTATGTTTGAAGGTATATTAACTAAGGGGTTTTGGAGTTTCTGGGTGAGGTGAAGCTGAACTGTCGCTACATCGGCTCCAGTATCAAGTACCTTGCGCCCCACTGGCTCGATCTTGCATGGGGTTGTAGGGTTTCAACTCCTTTGCAAGTTCAGCAGTGCTCAGCATTGGGTTCAGGATTTTGGGCTTCCGGGGTCAGAAACCCTAAAATCTTAAACTCTAGAAGGGTGTTGTCAAAATTAGGGTCCCTCTTTGGGTCCTTAAAATAATACGGCACCTTCTATTTAAGGTACCCAAAAAGGGATCCGAATTTTGACAACCACCCATATCTTAAACCCTCAGAGAAAGGTGCAGCGCGAGGACATAAGGCGTTCTCAGCCCCTTACAGGGGTCCTAACATGCCGATTAGGCAGTACTTGGAGGATCAGGGAACTTAGTAAGTAGGGGTATAAGTTATCAGCAAGGTAATTTGAAACGCTGCGCGTCGTCCGCCTCGGCCCGGCTGTACGCGCATGCGGCGAGTGGCTACTATCTGCAGCAAGCTCTTGTAGGAAAAAAGTAACAGTTGGAATCGCACTTATAGTAAAAGTAATGTTCATAGCAACACGAAGCAGGATGATTGTGAGTAGTATTAGTAGTGGTAGTATCAGTACGAATTTTGGTGTCGTCATTCCGAAACACTGGATACCAAGACTCTCGCAAGCGGCGGGATGCCTTAAGTATGGGCCGTTGAGGCTGTGGATTTCGTGGGCGTCTTGGATTAGGGAAGCATCACAGCCTTTTCAACCACGTTACTCCGCCTATCCCAACGAAACGGCGTCTAAAACAAGCCTGAGACGCACATAAAGATGCTACATTAAAAGAATAGAAAAAAACTCTAAACCCTAAAACCCTACAGTAAACCCTACAAGGTATCCCTGTCAACAGTTCTCAAGATCCTATGCTTTCTACAGGTAAGATCATAAGCCCGAGGATTCGAGTCTTGGGTGTGTTTTGGGAAAAGTAGGGTTTAGGGGTTTGGGGTTTAGGGGTTTAGGGGTTTAGGGGTTTAGGGTTCAGGGGTTTAGGGGTTTCGGCGTTTAGTAAATTTAGGGGTTTAGGGTTTTAGGGGTTTAGGGTTTAGGGGTTCAGGGGTTAAGGACTTCGGGCTTCCAGGTGAGAATTTTGGATCCTCCTCCCCAACTTTCATTTATATCCTCACAGAGCCTCAAGCCCGGAACGGTAGGGATGCCTCTGCATACCCCAAACCCAAATCCCTTAAACCCTTAAGCCCTTAAAACCCTTGGGTTACGGCGTCATTGCCGATTGAAGCACCTCAACCGACGACAGCCGGAGCCGTAACCCTAGAAGCCCTGAAGCAACACTCGCCAAGTAAACCGCAAGCCACGAGCAGCGGATTGAGGTTTTGGAGTATTCAAGCACATACTGGCGATCGGTCTGGGATAATTTTTAATTTCCTTATTGGTTAATATAGATCCCTAATTATGAATAATTTTGGGGACTGCTGGCATCGAAACCTAATTAGATTATTACCTCTGGTCCCTAAACCCTAAACCCTAAACTCTAAACCCTAAACCCTAAACCGTTCCGGCCTACCCGCCTTTGTCTGGCAGACTGGATTGCTGGGTAACAGAGGGGCTCGAGAAAAAAACAAAAACACGAAAACCGTTCCAGCCTTCCAAGGGTGAAAGAAGGGACCCTCAATAAGGACCCCTAGGTATATGCCCTGAAAATATATAATATAGCTATTATATACCAATTTTTATAGCCCATGATAGGGTAGGGGTCCCCGTTAAGGGTCCCTCCTTCTCCCCTTTGAAGCCTGATTCCAGCTACGGGCTTCCTGCGAAGGGATCCAAAAAGTAGATCCCTTAATGGGGGTTCCTATAAAGTACCCTTAGTAGTATAGGGCCCCAAATTAAGGGATCTACTTTCTAGATCCTCCCGGGGGTCTTGTGGCTACTGACAGGGCTGAATGTAGGTGCCTTGATAATGAGAATAGGGTTTATTTGCGGCATATTATACTATAGAGATAAGAAGGATCCCCCCAGAAAAAAAAACACAGAGTATAGGTAATTGCTGAAGCCCCTATATTAGGGTTTAGGGAAGCTTCTGTTGTCGATCAACTTGTGGACTGCGACGCACTTGAAGAGTTGGTGATAATGGTGGAGCAGGTCAAACAGCAGATTTACGTCAGGACGACCTCGAGTGGGGACTCAGAGATGGACGATCTTCTTTGGCAGAAGATTTTTGAGGAAGTGGAGAACGGGCATCAAGCAGGGCCATTGAGCAGGCCCGATCGAATTCGAAACTCTCCCTGAAGATTGCCTTGTCAGTTCAAGGCACGCATTGATGCAGGGCGACAAGCTCAGGCCGACAGATCAATTATTCGTCGCGCCTCATGAATGAGACCGTGACCGAATCAGAGAAACCTGTTACTCATTCGATAGATGAGACCCAGGGGCTCCAATATCCCGTAATTAAGGAATATTCCTTGAATCATATACGGGATCCTACTATAATTTAAGGAATATTCCTTAAAGAAGGGATGTTGGAGTCTTGGTCGCGCGATTGTCAAAGGTCGCAAGAGGTAAATGCTTCAAGGAAGTATTCGGCAACACAGCCGACTTGAAGAGTGCGCACCGCCAGCTGGCAGTTTCGGATGATAGCTTGAAATTCCAGGGTTTAGGATTGAGGGTTTCAACACAAGCCGATGCTCTTCCAACGCCACAAGACGGTAAACGGCTGCTGGGGTTCACAGTAAGTTGACAGCACCGGAATTTCCATACAGAGAAGACATGATCCGGAGAGGTAGATGATCCGGAAGCAGGTTTGCGATTTAATATAGGGGCCTTAATAATTAGAATCGGGTCTTGGGGCCCATTATACTAGAATTACAATAAGGGACCCCCAAAATAGTAGAGGTAATTATTGAGGCCCCTACATTAGGCTTCTGGGGTTTCGGCTTTGATTTGAATTGTTTGGTTTGGGGTTCGAGGTTCCAGCGTTGTCAGGGGGTTTTTGGGCTCAGTTTTGAAGGGTCGGTTTAGGCTTTGAGGATTCCGTTGGTGTTCGGCTGTGTGTTTGATTTAAAAGCTTAGGTTTAGAGCTCCAGCATTCTGGGGTTGTAGGGTTTCAGGTTAAGTTTGGGGTTTAGACTCAACTTTGGCCCCTGAACCTTAGAAGCTGCCCCCACCCTGTAATAGTGGTATAATAGGAATATAATAGGGCCCTAATATAATCCTATATAATCCTTATAGTCACTATTACAGGGTGGGGGCCCCTTCTAACCTATACCCTACCTATAGTCTCCATGGCAGTTTCGTTTGTTGGCTGCTTTGTTTTCCAACATAGAGTTCCAATGATCGAACTGGTTAGCCGAAAAAGAAGCACACTGGAGCTGTAGCTAAACCTTCGTGGATGTCCTTACAGGGTTAAAGGTTGTTTAGGACCTCAGCTTTAAGGTTTTAGAACCCTCAAACCTTAAACCCTTAAGCCCTAAACCCGTACAACCCAAACACCAAGCCCTAAAGCCCTGAACCCTCAAAGCTGCACTTAGCCAGGCTGTGGATCAGTGTCGTGGCGATCACGAGCTTTGCTTGCTGTCTGACGGCTGCAGACTGGAAGAGGAGGGGTTGGCAGTTCTGTGGTACGTGCTAGTGTCTACTACTGCTACTACTGCTACTACTACTACTCCTCCCACTGCCACTGCGACTGCTACGGCGACGGCCACTGCTACTGCTGCCTACTACGACTACGACTACTACTTCGACTACGGCGACGACTATTAGTACTACTGTTATTGTAATGTTTATGGTTGTTATCATTCTTATTAGTCTTCTAGGGCTTAGGGGTCTGTGGAGAAACTGCGTCCCTTAGTGTAGGACCATTCCTTTCATAGCTTCGTAAGGTGTAGCTGGTACATTTTGTATATAATAATTATAGTAGTCTCTAGCATGTTACAGTATATTCTAGTATACTATGGTATACTAAACTATAGTACATATTGCAGTATGTTATAGTTTTTTGTACCATGCTACAGTATATTGTGGTAGATTATAGTATGTTCTAGTATATTTTAGTTCATTTATATGATATCACCCTTGTGCTTCTCCTGTGTCTTCGGCCCATACTATGCTGCTCAAGTCGCCAATATATGTTCTCTACGCGCCCCTATTTTTTCAGGCTAGAAAGCTTCTAGATACCTGTACCTGCCTGACACCTATATATCCTTTGCATGCTGGGGCGAACACACCAACCTTCGGCACATCAGCGTCTGCCTGCTGTGCTTGTTGTCGTGTTTCGGTAGAAGCAAGATAGAGGATTCAGGTATTCAGAGAGCAACAAACCTGAAACACGGGTGGATCCCCCATGATTTATGGGGGATGCCTTCAATGCAGGACCCTTAAACAACAGGGTTTTACGAATCAGGGCTCTGCACTGAACTCGAAAGCCAAACCGCATTCTGTTCTGTTTTATTGCCTGCTGCTTCTTTTTTGAAGGCATGTACAGAAAAGCTCATTTTCCCACCTTCCAAGAGCAGTAGACCCTAAACCCTAAACCTTAAACCCTAAACCTGAAACCCTAAACCCTAAACCCTGGACCCGAAACCCGAAACCCTAGACCCTAGACCCGAAACCCTAAACCCTAAACCAAAAAGAAAACCTGAAACCCTAAACCCTAAACCCTGGACCCGAAACCCGAAACCCTAAACCCTAGACCCGAAACCCTAAACCCTAAACCAAAAAAAAAAACCTTAAAGCCTAAACCCTAAGTAGCCATAGGCATGAGACCTGCCGGGTCGGCTAGGGCTCCTCGCTCCACAGGGATCCCTGCGTGGATGTAGGAGTTCCTCTGTATCAGGAACTTCTAACTAGGTTGGATTTTGGGACATTTTTTATTTTCCTTATTTGGGTTTATAAGGGGCCCTATATATAAATGTTTTTCAGAGGCTTTAAGGGGCCAACCCAGCTAATGAAATACTACGACCTTAATGCTTTTCCCTATCGCTTGTGGTACCTGTTGATGTAGGGGTTGTTTACGAAAGTTTAGGGTCACGCCCTCGCTGTGCAGGGCACGCATCATCCGCGAGATCAAGCAGGTGGGTCGGCGGGAATGGTTAACCCTGAATACCTAGAGACTCCAATATCCCTTAATTAAGGAATATACCGTAAATTATAACAGGATCCCCAATATGACTTAAGGTATATTCCTTAATTAAGGGATATTGGAGTCTCTGGGTAGTTCGCATCCATAGTCTTTCAGACCGGTGCTTACGTTGTGCCCTAAATCACAAAACCGCCATCCCTTTAAAGGAACCCTTATAGTACCCTTATAGTAACCCAGAAAGGAACCCGTATAGTGCCCATATAAGCCCAACCAGCCCTTTTCCAGAGACCTTTTTTGCACTGAAGGTTCTTGGGGGGTGATGGACACGTACGACCAACCTACACGATGTCTTTGCGGCGTTATGCCCTTTTCTTTAGAACCGTCGCTGTGACGGTATATGGTCAGAAACCGCGTACATAGACCACAAGCGTAGTCGAAAGCACCACAATAGTAAGAACAAGCGAATCATCAGTCGATATTGAATGTGGTTTGTCACATTGCTTGTCCGGTCGTTCCCTTTAACCTACTGCAACTGAGGAAAATCTCTTCAGCTATCTTAGGGGGTGCTGAGGTGTTTAAAGAATTTCGGGTTCAGGGTTTCAGAGGCGTCTAGAAAGATAAGCTAAGGAATATTCCAGATCAAGCTGACATTGAGGTTTGAGGGACCTCGAAAGACACGACACTTCGACGCATGCTGCCTCAGCCCTCCACCTGAAAGAATAACCCCGAAACGCTAAGGCCCTAAAGTAAAAGCCAGAAAGTTGGAATATGATTACCTAAACCCTTAAAGGTAAACTATAAGGTATCCTACCCTGAAACCATATTCCAACTTTCTGGAGTTCCCTTTAATGCCCTAGGGCCCCAATTCTTAAGCCCTAAACATCAAACCTTTACGGGCCCCGCTCGCGTAGGATGGCCAAAAGAGTACGCTGCGCTCTTTAAGCCCAAACCACAAACCCTAAACTCGGGTTTGGGGTTCAGCTCTTAAGGTTTACTTCGGTTGCTCCAAGAACCACGGACTTCTTGGGCTCTTGTTGTGCAGGGTTTAGGGGTGAAAGAGTGCGCAGAGTACGTATGCAGGATCAGTGGAATTGCGTGAGTCGGTTTGAACTAGAGTTGTTTCGAGGATAGCTCCGAAAGACTAAACCCTCCGCCCTAAACCCTAAACCCCAAACCCTAAACCGTAAACCCTAAACCTTAAACCCCTAACCCCTAAACCCCAAACCCTAAACCCTAAACCCTCAAAACTCTCAAGTCCAGTGCAGGAGGAGGAGGAGGAGGCCATGTCCCTTAGTTAAAGCATATACCTTAAAATATGAAAGGATCCCTAATCTGATTTAAGGAAAATTCCTTAATTAAGGAATATTGGAGTATTTGGGCTGGTTTTGCAGAGACCCCTAAACCCCCCAAACCCTAAACCCCTAAACCCCCAAACCCCTAAGAACTCTTGAGTCCTCTTAAGTCCAGCGCCGAAGCACTTGCCTAGGATGCCCAGTAGTAGCCTTATTCCCTTTTTGTAGCTAGGTTCCTTATAAAGTTACCCAATACCAAAAAGAGAGGCCTTTTTATTCTTAGGTTACTGGGTATCCTAGCCTTTAAGGGTTCCTTTTAAAGGGCTCAATAAGGATTACCATAAAGGGGTATTATGGGGGTTTTATTTTAGGGGCCTTATAAGCAGGAGGAGGAGGAAGCAGCGGCAGCTGAAGGGGAGCTGAAGGCGGAGGTCGGAAAATTTCTGGGTCTGGGCGAGAGCTCTGGTTACTTTAGGCGCCTCGGTAATTTCAAATGGGGTTTTGGGAAAAACGATACTATAATAATGATAATTAGGAACCATTAAATTCATATAGGCAATTTTCCAGGCCCCTATAGTAGGATTTAGGGTTTAGGGTTTAGCATGTAGTAGTCTGCATTGTCTTCTAAGGTGCGGATTTGACTTTTCCAGCCACGTGTACAACACTCAGGTTCTTGACGATATTTTGATCTTCCTGAGTACGGAACCCCCTAATCGAGGCAATTATAGATAAGTACACGTTGTGGCCTTGCCATCGGGGTTGAGTGCTTTCTAAGCCGTACCTACCTGGACCCTTAACAGCGCAGGACTGTTTCAAGTGTGGAAGAATGTTTCTGGGGAGCATAGTCCGTGTGTTTAGCCAGTGCTACCCTAGACCCCACCCAGGCCTTGCCCCTACTCCCGCACCCCCTTAACTTGAACCTTTGACTCCGAGACCTTTAGGGCCTGCAGCTAGGTTGCCAAGCAGTAACTTCTTCCCTAATCCGTACACCCTTGTTTGTTTCGGTTTCCTTTCAAAAGTGAACAGTAGGAACCCTACAGTTGAGGGTTTATTGTTTAGGGTTTTGATTTTTAGGGTTTAGGGCATTTAGGGCTTAGGGTGTCGGTTTAGGTTTTTTTGCGGCAATTTCAGGGTTCAGGACTTGAAATTTTCGGGGGCCCCAGCAACGAAGACGAGGCGCTCGACATGTACTTAACTTACGAAAAGGCTTGGGGCCCAAAGCCTGCAGAAGCCTCTTGAGAACTGCGGAGACCCTACATGGTTCCTTCATTCACTGTTATGATTGTTTTCAGTTTTTACACCGTTCTTCGCTTGTAGGGCCCGTATCACATGCCATGCACTCGGAACCGAAGCTCCGTCCTGAAAGTCCAGGAGACCAGCTCTCGCGCAGACACCGAAACCGACAAACGAAAATTGAAAAGGACACCCGCCCAAATTATTCGTAGTATTGTTTTCCTACGGGCTGCACCCACCGGCGGGTAGTGCAAGCTGTAGACATGACTAAGCTGAAGCAGGCACGCTCCTTCTTGAGCCTAAAACTGCATATCCACTATAATATACCCTGATGTGCTATATACAATACAAGGCTATAGTACTAAACAAACATCCCCCCGCCGCCCACACCCCCGTTGCTCACCCGCATGCACAGCATGGCAGCTGATCGGGGTACAATACCGGCGAGAGAACCTTGAGCGGGCTCCAGTGGTGCAAGAGATTCTCAAGCGGTTGGACGGAGCATGATACAGGCCTTGCGACTTCGAAACAGAGGGAATCATTGTTATGCCAATGCATGGTGCAGGTCTATGCTCTGGGCATCCGCGATTGCCAACCATGGTCGTGACCTATTCGAGCCATTGCTACATGGGTTTGATGTTGTATGTGCTCAGGTTCGGCGCGGACGCATGGTACAGCTCATGGAACAACGCGACATTCGTGAGTTGCTGAGGGCTTTGCAGTCTCCCAACAGTCAGCACGATGTCATAGAATTTGCCATGTAGGTCATCACTCAGGTTGGGGCAGTTAATCTGCTGGGGATATGGCAGGCAAGATCGGCCATCGAACATCAGGTACATGTACATGATACGGGGCGCACCTTGATCTTGCATCCGAGCAGGATTAGACATTTTTTGCACACAATGCTTTCAGTCTGGGAGGCGGCCATTCATGGTAAAGTGTGTGTGCGTACAGCAAAGCCCTTACACTATTGCTGATTCCGGAATGATGCCTCCCAAACCCAAAACCCTCAGCCCAAAAACTCTAAGCCTTAAACCCGGATGTCTCGAGTGCGCTAAACCCTACAAACCCCCGGAGTTTAATAAGAAGGGTTTAGGGGTTTAGGTTTTAGGGGTTGGGGTTTAGGGTTTTGGGTTTAAGGTAAGTATGGGTATCCCGAAACCCTAAACAACCAACACGCAGGCAGATGCTGCAGCTGACCAAGACAGGCCGAGCCAGGACGTACTGTATGGATTCTGCTGCTGAGGCTCTTATGAACCCTATCTTCAACACCAAAGAGGCACCCTCTTTTCAGGGATGAGATTTGGGTTCCGTGATGGCGAATCGTGAATATGTAATTCCTGTTGGATTAAAGTTGACACCTAACCTAAAGTTTAGGGGGGCTGAAGCCGTCAAGAGCCGTCAACCGAGGTTTCTTGAGTGCATTTCAAGTTAAGGGATTTTCTGGGTTAAGGGTTTAGGGTCTTTGAGTCTAATTTCTTAGCTCCCTGCTCCCTACCAGATGCTGTCGCCTAATGCTGATCGCAACCTCAAGTGGACGTGCATCGATGCCATCCCTAGTAAGCCGGAGAGGGACGGCTCGACAAGGAGCCGGAGCAGGAAACATTCGTCATCCTCATCTGCCGAGAGGCGAGAAGCTGCGCGAGACCACCACAACGACTGCTGCAGCTGCATTTGCGCAATGGCCAGGGGAAGGTTTGAACATGTTTTGGCAGTTGAAGGGGAGGCGTTTAATCAGACACCGGAAGCCCATAACATAAGATTTGGCCTAAGCCCCACCTTAATACAGTTCGGCTGACATCAAGATGAGCTCGACCATGGCCGTTATCAGGGCATCGGTGTTCCGACATCGAATAGGGTTAGCACCAAGAGATTCCAATACCCTTTAATTAAGGAATATACCTTAAACTACAGGCGGCTTGATATTATGATTCAAGGCGTATTCCTTAATTAAGGGGTCTTGGGTTTTCTGGGAACATGGACGTTATCATGGTTCGGGCATGGATGTTCTGACATGAAACTGACTCAGTCCAGTGCGGGCTGCGTGGAATGCCAAAGCCTCACGGTGACAATGGTGACGAAAGCTTAAACCGCCCAGAAACTGGTTAGGTTCCCAAGTAGTGCATTTCCTTCTTGTCTTATTTCATGGTTCTCTTTCCGAAGTGAGCAATAAGAAACACTAATCATTCTGTTTTAGGTGCATACACTATAGCGGTCGGGATAAACAGCAGTAGGGGTGCCTCATCTCTACTCTAGTATCACCCAAAATCATTTTCGGATTACGAAGCCCCCTAGACCCTTAAGCCTAGACCCTAGAACCCTCGTGGGAACCCGCACATGAACCCTGTAAAGGATTCCTTTGAAGGAAGTCTTTCTGAAGGAGCCTTAAAGCCTAAAACCCCCCCTTCCCTTAGCCCTAAACCCCCTTAACCCAAAACCCCCTTAACCCTACACCCTAAGCCCCTGCAGCTAAACCCTAAACCCTACACCAGTGCAGGAAAATATTAAATAACAATAATAGGAATGGCAATAAGAATTGCAATAATACTGCTTCATATAGTATCTAACTTAAAAAGAAAGTGCAGGACTGCCAGGACTCCTCCATTCGGGAGGCCATCGTCTGACGCTCACGTCCGTCTGAGATGGGCCCTCTCCAGGTTTCCGAGCCTTCAAGAAAGAAGGGTTTAGGGTTTAGGGTTTAGGGGTTTAGGGGTTTAGGGTTTAGGGGCCCTTTTGGGGTTTAGGGCGCCTGGGTCTAGGCAAAAGGCTTTAAGCTTCAGGGCTTCAGGGGTTCATGGGGTTTAGGCTTCAGGGGTTCAGGGCTCAGGGCTTCAGTTGGAGGTTCCCGATCTACGGGGCCTTGTAAGGAGGGTCTCCTTCCTGGGGTTCTATACTACGGATCCTTATTTGTGGGTTGGGATTCTGTTCTCTCTGTGTTTGTGAGGCTCTGGTTCATGCATGTTTCGCGGCCTAAACGTCAGACTCCTGAACCCTAAACACCCAAAAGACCTCCACCAATGAAGCCCTAAACCCTAAAAGCCCCTAAACCCAAAACCCTAAACCCCTAAACCCTAAACCCCTAAACCCCTAAACCCTAAACCCCTAAACCCTAAACCCCTAAACCCTAAACCAACTAAACCGCAAACCTCTGTAGACCCAAGCCTTCAGGCCTGGGACCCCTAAAAAAGGCATCATGTAAAGTCTCAACCCGTCGGGTTTACTATAGAGGCCTAAAGAATTCCTTATACTATTTGGGGCTTCCTTAGAATTATAAGTGTAGTATAGTGAGCCACGACTCTATTCTAATTATTAAGGCCCCTATATTACGTGGAGGATGCCGGAACTTAGTAGGCTTACGTTAAGGGCTCTCTGAGGGCTTTTCGGGGTTTCAGAAGGGTTTCCATAAGGGTGCTATTGGGCTTGAGAGCTCAGGCGACTTAGTTAGTCGGTTCAGAGTTATAAGGAGATATAGTTGTGACTATAGTTACCTTATCCTTTAAGTGTGGTTTATACCCTTAAACAGCACCCCCCAACAGCTACAGTTTGGCGTCTGAGGGTGTAGGGTTCCGGGCTGCTTGAGGGTTTAGGGCCTAAGCCCTCGCACTGCAAGCAACGGCAGCATGCTGTCTGAGACACATGAACTGCCCAGCAATCATGTTGTGGCCTTGGGTCCAGAGGAAAGCCTTGACGATGATGGGCAGGTCTCTTGTTAAGTTGCATACCCAAGCAGCCCTAAACTTAAACCACAAGCCCTCAACCCTGAATCCCGAACCCTAAACCCTTAATCCTGAACCAGACAGTGTGGTTTCGGTTCAGATCCCGGCGGCTGAAGTGGCTGAAGTACAAATTATGCAGAATAGTTCGAGAAGGGTTAGAAGTAGATAAAATTACAGTTACCTTACTTCTAACCCTACTTACTAAGCCCCCTCATCCTCCAAGTAGGACCCTGAAGAGTACGCTCCCTTTATTCGGGACCCTCCTTTAGTTTCCAGAACCCACCCTGTACTTTAAAAAGCAATTGAGGGTTAAAGTCGGGCCTTAGATTCAGCTCCATTATCATCGGGATACATGTTATTATTCAGGATCCCCTTGGGAAATCTCACAACCCTAAACTCTAAACCCGATCTACCCGCCTAAACTTTAATCCCTAAACTCTAATCCTTAAACTCTAAGCCCTAAACCCTAAGCCGTTTAGGGTTTAGAGTTTACGGTATAGAGTTTAGGGTTTAAAGCTTAGGGGCCCTAAACCCCATCACTTGGGAGCCCCTCGGCGGGCCGCACTCTGGGCATGCTCTGAAATCCCAGGCCGCAACTGTTTCAGGCAGGGCTGTCCGTTTTCTTAGCAGTAGTTTAAAGGGATCTTTAGAGGGATCTATAGGGTGTTTAAGGGGATGTATAGGGTTCTTTGGAGGGATCTATAGGGTTCTTTAAAAGGGGTATATACATAGGGTTCAGGGTTTAGGGTCTACTTAGAGGATCATGGGACTTAGTGAGTAGGGTTCGAAGTACCTTAATTAGGGTTATAAGTAGATATGACTATAGTTACCTTAACAACAAGCCTACTTACTAAGTCCAATGGTCCTTTAAGTAGTCTAATGAAGAACTGTCGGATCGTTGCAAGTACTTTCTTTAAGGGGTTCCCGGTTTAATGGTTTAGGGTTCAGGGTTTAGGGTTTTAAGAGGTTCCTGTCGAAGGACTAGATAACTACGTGTGTTAAGTTTTTCCGATCGGGGGAGTCGATTTCGTAAAAGGGACAGCCCTGGCTTAAAGCGTTGGCCACGAGTTCTGAAGGAATCCGGCGTTGGGAAAACAAGGCTGCGCGATTGAATTTGCAGTTCAGGGCTTAGGATCCCCGCAGTATCCCTTGAAGACGGAACATGCCGGAAAGTTACAAAGGAATCTTATCAAATGAGGCGCATTTTTGGATTCGAAGCTTATCGGGTGCTCTTTCCGATGGTTATGGTCGGAGCACGCATTAAAGTATATTCACCCCCTGCAATTCCCAACCTATGCTGAAAGGCGCCCTTAACCCGAACGCTTCAACCTCCAAACCCCCAAGCTCGGCTCCATAAACCAAAACCCCAAAGCTGCGCAATGCAGGAGTGAGGAATAGGGGTTCGGGGTACATTCTACTATACTTACCACCGAAATCGCATAATTAGCGCTGCCTTAAGCCAGCTGACGGTCAACACCGTCATGGCCCACCTGGCCGGATGCACGGATGCAAGGGAACTAATTTCGCTTCTCCTGTCCTGTGCCAAGGCAGAACATTTCGGGCAGCCGGTGAAGGCTCTGGCCCCGTTCCGGAACGGGGTCCGGGGCAAGCTCATGACGCTTTCTTACGAGCGGGAGCTGGAAAAGAAGGCGCAGGCGAAGCAAGCGTCGTGAGAGCACCAGAGCTATGAAAGTAGACATGACGTGGCCAGGCAGGACGACAAAGCTGCTCGCCTTGCTGCACAAAAACGCAAGCGGGACCGCGCAGAGGCCGCAAAGCAGGCTCGGAAGGCTGCGAAGGAGGCAGCCGAACTAGCGCAGAAGGAAGCGCATCGGAAGCAGGCCGGCAGAGCGCGTGATCCTGTCGCAGCGCACGGTCATCTTGTTTGACCTGGAAGGTCCGCAAAGACGCGAAAGAGAGAGAGTACACGGCCCGAAAAAAGTTTCGGGCCGAGGCGAAGGACCGCGGGGAAGAGGACCGATTGCTCGTCATGTTGCGACTCAGTGCTCCTCGTCGAATTTGCGGCATGGCATGCAGGCCTTCAAGAAGCTCCAGGACCGCCGCGACAAGGACAAGACGCGCAAGGCGGACAAACGTGCGGAAGAAAAGAAGCGAAAGGAGGGAGCGGCCAAGCTGGCGAAGGCTGACCCCAGATTTTGCGTGGCATAGAATCAAAACTTCTACATGTTGTCCGCAGAGGAGCTAGCTCCTGTGCGTGAGCACCTGCGAGTCCTCTGGAACCACGAGCCAAAGGAGCAGGCCGCGTGCAAGCAAGGCCTCCATTCCTGAAGCATGTCCCGATAGCAGGAAGTGCTCATGCAGCACCTGCTCCTGAAGGCGAAGGCGCAAACATGCGAGAGCGACAGACTGGCCTTAGCTTGTCAAGTTGCATCCTCTCCAGCCCTTCCTTAACATCGAAGCTGACACAGGACCTATGTTACCCTAAGCCCTAAGACCTTGAACCCTAGACCCTAAACCCTAAACCCCTAAACCCTAAACCCCTAGACCCTCAACCCCTAAACCCCACAACCCTAAACCCTAAGCCCCTAAACCCTAAACCCTAGACCCAAAACCCCGAAGCTTCGCACCCTAAGCCCTAAACCCTAAACTCCTAAACCCTAAACCCCTAGACGGGCTTACTCGGCGGGTGTCAGAGTTGGTGGCCTCTTTTAATTATGGAATATATACTCTTCAAGGGCTCCTTAAAGGGGATCTATAATGGTTCTATCGGGGATTTAAGGAATATATACCCTTTAAGGGCTCCTTAAAGGGGGTCTATAAGGGTTCTATAGGGGTGTTGTAGGTGTCCTTTAGAAGTGTAGTTTGCGTAACAAAATTCTGTGTGATGGAAAGGCACCACCCAGTGCAAGAATGGGACGATGCTGCCAAATCAAAGGTGGCGACGAAGGCCAGGGCAAGCGGCAGCGCAATGTACTGGTGATATCGTGGCCACCACTGGGTATGACGAAGGAGTCCATGTACTCCAAGTTTCCCTATGCAGTGCCCAGACACATCTAGCATGTGTTGCTAGTTAATCAAAAACCGAAAACGCTGTTTGTGTCGTTCCGAGATTTGCATTGTCGCAGATCATGAAAACCGACTTCTTCCACTACGAGGATGGCATCAACCTCACCCTGCAAGATCTACAGACTGGCACAGTCGTTCAACCGTTGCGCCACCAAGAATGGACAGCAGGTGACATTGCACGTACTTCTCTCCAAAGGAGACTGGAAGTGGAAGCAGGAGTGGCTTGTCCGGGAAACATATTACAATAATGTCATCAGTTCTGACCTGGGCATATGCCCTCGCTGCTTGGCAGCGAAAGGGAACTGGCTCGATCCGGTGCATGAAGCCTTCAATGCGACATCTGACGTTTTGGCTGCTCGAGAAACGTTTGTTGGCCTAAAGGTGGCAGTGCACGACCTCGCAGGATGGACTCCTGAAGCTAGTTGTGAGTTTGTGTTTTTGATTCAACTGTGTTTTCTTACCTGTGTCGAAACCTTTAAACGCTCCGCGCTGTTTTCGGCACAAGCACTCACAACTAGTGTTTCGCTTTCTCGCATCGCATGCGTAAGAAATTTTTCATAACCTATGCACTTTCAGGTTTGCTACGCATTGCATGGCAGTTTTCCGCCATATCGACGCCATGGATCCGCCCGAGGCAGCCACCCCGGACCAATTGGTCCGCGCACTGCAAAGCCTCGCAGAAGATTGCATTGACATGGGCGCAACGATTCACGAGCGCATAGACGCACTCTCTGACCGCATTCAGGCGGTCATTGCAAAGCTCGGCAGCCTGGAACGCCGCATTGCAATCCTTGAAGGCGCACCGCAATGCACAGACACTGTTGATTCTCCGCTAGAAGAGATGGATTAGCAAGCACTGCACATGCGCAGCCTTTACAGCT